TTTTCTCTCTCATTTTTTTTTTAATTATTTTCATTTCATATAATATTAGCGTGTCAACACGATCATCGTTACTGAGGCTGTGATAATCCGTTCATGTATGCGCGTGTGTAAGAAGGGTACGAAGAATTTTCTTTTTATGCAAATAATTTTTCTATTTTATTTTTTATTTTTTTTCATATATATAAAAATAGAAATATATATGGAGTAAGGCCCAGTTCTACGAATCGACCGAAATATTTTCTATTTCGGTATGGAAAAATTCGATCTTTCTTTTTTAAATTTATTTGCATCGCCCATTCGTTGATAGAACAAAAATAACGGACGTTCCCTTTGAGCGTAATCAACATTTTGATCGACAACAACGTTCCCGAACTTTTGTGCATATTCAACCCTTCGTGCATCATGGGAATCCCTCCTTTCGAGAACGTAAGCCCGATAGGAAAAAAAAAACAAAGTGAGTACATCATCTACGAATAGAGAGAGAGATCCAACCGTGAAATTATTTTTCCAATACGTACGCGAGAAGAACACACATACGCGAGCTTTCGCGAAATTACATAGATAACTATTGATCAATTAGTGTTGTTTGAAGAATTTACCAATCCCCCTCTCTCTGTACGTGTATGTGTGTATGTGTCTGTGTGAATGTAAGTATATAATGTATATGATACATATATTTATTCATCACAAAAATTTATATGTTAACCCACAAAAGAAAAATACAATTTACAAACGAAAGACGTATATGACAATATAGGCGAATTATGTATGACAAAGTAATAATATATATAATATACGTGTGTGTATGTGTGTGTGAAATGTATATATATATATAGAGTCCGCCAAACGTGACTTAATAAACTAAAACTACCTGCGTGCCTCGACGAATAATAGTGGGTTGTGGGCGTGCGCTTGTCGGTGAACGACGGAGAAGGAGCCACAGTAAAATGATCGATTTTTTTGACGATGCCTCGTATTACGAAATTTTCGATACGTGTAATTTCTATATATATATATATTCATATATATATATATATATAGTATTATAATATATCAAGCTGAAGCCTTACGATAAAAAAAATTTAATATGATCTATATTAAATATTAGCGCAACTATGCTTGGGAAATCGGATACAATATAATATAAGTGAAATTTAAATAGCGCTAATGTGATATTAACGTGTGAGAGAATATATATATATATATAATAGCAGTGAATATTTCGATCGATTCGACTACTGGGATCTACGTAAAACGTATGAAAGAGAGAGAGAGAGAGAGAGAGAGAGAAAGAAAGAAAGAAAGAAAGAAAGAAAGAAAGAAAGAAAGAAAAAAAGAAAGAGAGAGAAAAAGAGAGTGATCGATAGAAAGACCGCGTAATTAAATGTGTTTTCAATTTCATCGTTATAAATGTAACATTTGATATTATTTCGAAGTACACTATATATTATAAGCTTACTATCGACTAACAAACGATCAAAATGCTATAACACAAAAATGGATGCGCTACTCGTCGCGTTCGATTCGACGACACGTTAATTAATTTTCTTCATTAATGTTTAATCCTTTGTTCTATATAGGCTATATAGGTTATGCATCGAAAGGGCATGAACTAAGAAAATACACGTGCGAATTTTGCAATGACCGCAGCCTTCTCCACACGATTCACCGTGTAAGTATTTATATAAATACTTTTTTTTTACTACCCGCGTTTGGCGTTTTTTTTCTTTTTTGATTGAGAGATGCAGCAGCAATTGGAAAATTATCGTGTGTCACGGCGAAGACGTGCAAATGTCTACTTTGGAGAGGGTAGTCCCTAAAAAAAAGAGAGAGAAAGAGAAAGAGATAGAAAGAGAGAGAGAGAGGGATAGAGAGAGAGAAAGAGAGAGAGAGAGCAATTTCACGTGCCAACGCCAAATTATTTGTTAAATCGGTTGCCTTTATTCGCAATAACTTTTATAATTTGTTTTTGTTGTTTGTTTGTTTCGGAGTTGGTATTTTTCTTTTCTCTGATTATTTGTTCCTTCTTTGTTTCTTACGCTTATAATACTTTGTTTTTTGTATACTTTACTTGAATTAATATTATCTACGTTGCTGGCACTAATGAAAAAAAAATGCCAAAAACCTTATCAAGCGAAATAAAATCGTGCCCCGGACCGACGAAGAAGAGCCCAATCTAAAGGCCAATTCGACGGTGGGGTTCGATCAACCCTTGGACAATCTACTAGGCTAACCAGAACACTAACGCATGCCGTCAAGAAACTCAATCCGTGAAGAGAGAGATAGATAGATAGATAGATAGAGAGAGAGATAGAGAGAGAGAGAGAGAGAGATAGATTGATTGATTGATAGAAAGAGAGAGAGAGAGAGAAAGAGAAAGAGAGGCTGATTAACTAGAAGAAGGATAACAGATCTATAGGAATCGAAAGAGAAAGATCGATTGGATCTAAAAGGATTTATACGTCGTATTATTCAGATAAAGGATACTTTTTGAAAAAAAGGAAAACAAAAATGCAAAGTAAAAAAAAAGAAGATATTTTAATAAACAAAAACGAACAATGAATCGTCCGCCACTAGTATTATTGTTATCACGTGTTTTTGTGTGTTTTATTATTAAAGAATAATAAATTCGCGACGAAATTTAATATTAATTTGTTTTCTTTTGTTCGTGATTTTTTGGTTTTTTTTTTTTTGTAAAAACAAACGAGATGATTTAATAAAAGATTGTCGATATTACATATCAAGTGAACTTTTAATACGAAAACCCTGTTCCACTCGAATCGATAGCGAATTTATCGGGTATTTGTTTGTTCGTTCGTTTTTTTTTTCGTATACCAAATCTGTTGAATATTGCATAGAATTTATCGAATTTATTGAATGAGAAAAAGAGAGAGAGAGAGAGAGAGTGAGAGTGTGTATATGTGCCTGTGTGTGTGTGAGAGAGAGAGACTGACGAACAGAGAAACATTCTAAGGGATATTTGTGTGTGTGAAGATATTAACAAATACACAACGTTGAAACGATGATAAAAGGTTAAAGGAAAGAAGGTATATTTAAAATATATATATACATAGGTATATATACATACAAAGATGGGGAATAAAGATGCAAAGTAATCAACGTGATCAATATACTTTTTTTAAAATCTAATCGTGAATAAATCGAAACGAAAAGGAAATTTCGTCGTCTCACTCAAAGCGATCGATAATAACTACTTTTATCAAATGTTGCTGTGTGTGTGTGTATGTATGTGTGTGTATGTGCCAATAATTATGGTATTTTTGTATAAATATATAAGTATTACACATTTAAGTAGAGATGCAAACCAACGATATATGAATTTACAAAACGTAATTTAAAAAACCAAAAAGAAATACAATATTTAATGGATTTTTTTTTTCAACTGATTAGATTATATGTAAAAGTAATAAAATATGAATTTTATTAAAAATTTGATTGCATTTCTATATCATCATATGAACTTATAGACATGTACAATGGTTTACAAAAAAATAAATATACTTGAAGTGTACGTGTAAACACATACACATATGTGTATGCGTGTTCACAGGCAATTACGCGAAACGATAATAAAACATAACGTTCTCTCTCGCAATTAAATTGTGTACTTGTGGTGCGACGCAATGATGACTATGACAAATATATTAATAATAATAATAATTATAACGATGACGATGATAATAATGATAATAATCACAATAACAATAATTAAAATAGTTAAAATATTAACAAAGTAATAAAACAAAAATATCAAAACAATAGTCGCGCGTGTAATTTATCCTCTTATTTTATTTTCATATTGTTTCTCGTTCAACAATTTTTTTTTCCAAAACTAATTTGTAAATGTACCGAAAGAAATGCATACGTGTATTACCAAGTTTTTGAATAAACTGAAACAATAAATTGAAACAATGAGGATAAGAAACAAGCGGTATGACCTCGATATGGAAGGATACGTCAAGAAAGGAGACAATAAGAAATAGATTAAGAGAGAGAGAGAGAGAGAGAGAGAGAGAAAGAGAGAGAAAGAGAGTAGAAATAAGTAAGAGATAGTGAAAAAGGGGTTTATGAACGGTAGGGATTGTAGTAAATATTCGTATTCAGATAATCCTTCTCATCTAATCGTGTGTTGTACGGAATTTCACAAGGACATGAAATATATTTTAAAAGCTAGTCAAAAAATCAAGTTAATCTTTTTTTCGTTTCACGGATAGCAGCCGTGAGCCCATGTCTTCTTTCTTTTTTGTCTTTCCCAAGGATAACCTACCCCATTCGATCGTAAATTTTTCGAAGAAAAATTTCACCAATAACAAAAAAATAATATAAAAAACAGTAGAGAGTTCTCAGAAATGGCCCTTCAACGTCGTTCGACCGGTTTCAAAAATACACTACGATAGTTCCTATTTCGAATAATTTGTTTCTAACTTATCTACGAAAAAAACGAAAAAATAATCAGTATAAAAAACAAGCAGAGCACTTCCTGAGTATATATTTCTTAGCAAAGAAAAACATAAATAGATAAATAAATAAATAAATATATAAATAAATTTAAAAAAAAATATATATATATATATGTATATGTGTCTAATGCAAAAAATGATAACGCGAGGGTCACTTCGCTATCCAGAATTACATCGTTCCTCCTTCGCAAATCTACGCGACTACTACGGGAACAGTAGATATTTAACAATAATAATAAAAATAATGATAATAATAATAATAATAATAATAATAATAATAATAATAATAATAATAGTAATAGTATAATAATTATTATAAAAATAAAAATAATAATAATAAATAATAATATTATTATTAATTGTAATAATCAAGGGGGGGGGGCTAAATGTTTGAAAAAAATGGCAGGGTGGGCATAGGTAATTGTAAAAATTGAAAAGGGGTCGAAGGGGGTGGCTGGGGTTCGAAGGGTCATTTTGGCTGTGTTCTCCACTGTAGGTGGATTTTTTGCTGGGGGGTACCTGCGTCCACGTTCGCGTTTGTACTGGCCACCGTACTTGCAGCGGTTCGCGGCGAGCTCCGTGATCTCTGGGATCCAGCTGGCGAACACCGCCTACACACCCACAATCATCCGTTGCCGTCAGAACAGTAACCCTATCCTCAGCTTTCTAGTGTTTTTTGTTTTTTATTTTTTTGATTTTGTTATTTTTTTTTTTTTGATTGATTGATTGATTTGATTCGATTTGATTGATTGCCTGATTTGTTTGATTGATTGATTTATTTTTGTATTTGTTTTTTTTCTACAGATCGATTTTTCATCGTCCCTTTTCGTTCTTTTTTTTTTATTTTTGTTTTTATTCTTTCTTTTTTTTTTTTCATTTCTTTTGTTGTGTTTTTTTTCCTTGGTAATTTTTGTTAATATTTTTGTCTTATTTTTATCTCTAAACAAACTACAAAGGTATAATATATTATATTTCAAATGCATTTATTTATTTATTTCTTCGACTAGTTTTTTTATTTTCCCCTTTTTTTTCGGTTACCTCTCGCATATTCGATCCTTCCGTTCCGTCTCGCTTGCTCTCGCATCCATTCGTCTCGTTCCGTCTTCCTTATCCTTTCTTTTTGTTTTTTTTATTCGTCTGGTTAATTTTTAATAAATTCACGTACTTTATTTCCTTTCCTTTCCTTTAACGTAACACACACGTCTACCACGTGTATACTCGATTTATGCTTCGACGATTTTACCAAGGGGCCCAACCACCAACGTCCCTTTTCGTTCGGGGACGTACGACTCCCTTGAGAGAACGACCACGAACATTTCCCCTTCAAAAATTGTGGGATTCGCCGACTCTTTATCCTTCTTCGGTTTCGTATCCCCTCGACAGTAGGTACCAACGTTTCTCGCAAAAACTGATGAATTAATAACAACGAACGATGCTTATACACCAGAGTATACCTTTTCGCAATTTCGATCAACTCCCTTCCTCTTACCCCTACCCTTACCCACCCAACAAATATAAAATAAAACGAAACATTACCAAATCGTTCGTGTAAATTCAAACACGAATCGGTTCATCCTCTTTTTCTACAACAAAATGAATTATTTATCGGTAGTCTTCTTTATTTAGTTTGAATATATAAATAAATAAGAAAACACAAAATGAAAGAGTATACGTTTGCAATTTATGAATAATATTATACAGTGTCGTTAGTTTATCATGATAGATTTTTTTTATCGTAATTATCGAAGTGTCTTTTAAAATAACGTCGAATGAGATATACTTTATAAAAGAAAAAGAAATTGCTCCATGGTTTGTTTCTTTTAGGAGAGGGTTGAAGAAAAAAAATAAAGAATGTTTCCAAACGTCAGTTAGTTGCCAGACACCAGTCTCTCTTTTCACAGCATGGTACAACGTATCATTCGCATAAACTAGCGTGATCAAACGGAGCTTTGCTAACTCCTCGTAAACATGCGTTTTATGTTTTCTACATTCGACGTATATATATATATATATATATTCGTGTCTTGTAATACGATCGACTGCAGTCAGTAAAATTGCATTTCCGTATTTTAAAGGAAACATGCGGTGCTTTTACGTACCCATCGTTTTACCAATTTCACGTTTCGAGTATAAAAATATAAAAAGAAATAAAAAGAAAAAGGGGAAGGAACAACGACGATGAAATAACAATTTTTTTTTTTTTAATCGATTTCACTTACATTAATAAACAACAAAGTGTGTGATTAAACGAATAAAAAAAAAAAATTAATGGAATATAATATTTTCTTTCATTTGAAGAATCATTGATATGATTAAAATGATGATAGTTAATATTTTTTTTTATTATTGTATATATGCGTGTGCGTGTATATAATCGTATCGATGATCAATGTTTCTAGGGAGGTAGCAGACTAAATTGGTAAATCGTGCTTAGTTTCATAGAATTGTGTCACATTTTGTGAATGTTTCTATTTATATATAGTATACATGTTAGAAATCCATATGTTGTACACGTAAGATATTTATATATATATATGTACTTTGATATGTACATGTTATACTGAGAGGTAAAAAGAGTGAGTTTCTAGAAAATGATAAGACGTTCAGCGGGTTAAGATGGCGAAGAATAATAATAAATGTCTTGACGGTGAAATACGTATCGTTGGTTGGGTGTAAAACTTACAGAACTTTTTCAAAATGCTACACACGCGAACTCGTGGTATTCAAATTTTTAAATTCAGGATGGTACGAATACATATTCTTGAGAGAACCTCTTCGAATTATGTAAAAGGAGTCTTTTTTAAAAATGCTCCTTCTTCGCCATCTTTATATTTCTCTCTTTTAAAAGAGAGAGAGAAAGAGAGAGAGAGAGAGAAAGATATATATATATATATATATATATATATATATATATATATATATATATAGAGAGAGAGAGAGAGAGAGAGAGACAACTATATTAGCTGTAAAAGAAATAATATCGCATAAAAGAAAAAAATAATAAAACAATTATTTGCGATGTATAATTTGGCTTTTCTGTATGTTTATATTATACGTAAATAAAAATAAATATATATATAAATAATTGTTACCTTTTGTAGTTTTTATGTGTATTTGTTAATTATTATAAAAAAGAAAAAGGTTACGAAAATAGATAAGTCATGCTATTCTGGTTCACCTACAACGCTGTAGTACAAGTATGTAGTACAACATACGTGTCTCTGAGAAAAGTAATCGATAGAATTTCTCGGCTTGCGATCGTCGTTACATGTCAAAATTATCGTAAACATATATAAGAATATATA